CAAACACAGTGAGGCTCCTTTAAATCAAAACAGTTTATACAAAAAGTACCTTCACTTTTTTTTTTTTGTTTTAATCTCTGCCCACATTAGTTTCCAGATATTACAGAATAAACCACATTCCTCCTTCCAAACAAAGTGGATGGTCTTACAGGCAGGCGGGAAAGTCCTAAGTGTCCTTTTAGTTCCCAGGAACATAAAGGGTAAGCAATCATGAATTCATTGTTTGCTCTCCCTATGTCCTGGGGGCTAGCTGTAGTGCTTGGCTCAACAGGCATGCCTAATTTTGGCCAAACAACATTGAGAACTCGCCCAACACGTAAGGCTAATTGGCAGGACTGGTTAAGTACACATGAAAAGGCTTTTTGCTGTTACTGTTAAACAAAGTTCAGTTATAAAGCCTCAATATCATAATCTTACAGAGAAGAATGGCTAAAGATGTATATGGAGGTATAGGGAAGAGTGTTATCCGCATTGTAAAAACAAGAGCTGACAAATTAAGGATGGTGTTTAATCAGCATTTAGACAAAAGAATATATGGGTTAACTTTCCAACACTAATAATCTAATCCAGTAGTTACCTACAAATGAAGGTGTATAAGAACCCTTAAAGACCCTAGCCTTTCACCACTTATTCCAGGCCGTGGAAATCCAGAGCAGAGCTAAGTTTTTCCAGACCTGAAACCCTTTTTCAGTGCTTTCACTGCTTCTTAAAACAGCAGATATCATCCATTTTTGAGCCAAACCTGCATTTGTCTCAGCCAAACGCTTTCAGAGTCTAAGTTTGACTTCCATCAGGAAATGTTTAGCTTTGTCCTTAAATGTAAGATAATGTGGAGGACTGAAGAAGAGATGCCAAATTTCAGCTCTTGTTTCTGTCTGTTCCCTTGATTGCTCATTTAAATGTAACACATGGTGGTGGTGAAAGGCAAAAGTGTTACTGAGCTACAAGCTGAACCAGACCTATTTTATGGCTATGTGCCGTACACTGGCCAGTCCTGCCTTAGCCCCTGTGCAAAGGAAAGGCAAGCTCTAGAGAAAGAGTTTTATGTTCCTTGTTACTTTTGAAAGATTTCAAAAGCAGCCTTGTTAGAAGAAAAAAAGGGCTCAACTATGACATCACTTCCTCTGTTTAAAATATTTTACCCAAGGAAAAAGAAAAACCCTAAAGGGCATGGAAAAAAAAAATAAAAAATAAATCTGTTCTCTGCTTCTGGCTCGTTCCTTGGATTCAGCATCCCACCCGCTCATGGGATGACGCAGTGTGCCAGATCCCGACTGGTCCAGCCAGCATGTCAAGAGGCCGTAGCCCTCCCCACACAATTACCCCTTGTCAGAGGTGGCTGGCATCCGCCCTGCACATGCTGACAGCATCGCCGCTGGGACAACTGCACCCCTTCAGGGCAGCTCTTCTCCTCTTGGAGCAAGGCAGCAAGGCACCAGGAGGGCAGGCCGTGTTAGGCAGCTAACAAACAAGAAGCTCTTTTGTCAATTTGCTCCCCCTCCTGCCTCCCAAAATGTAGTGAAGACAGAGGAAAAGATGATCTTCTGCTTGCAGCAGCGAGGCTTTCTTTGCCTGGGAGCACAGCCAGCAGGACAACTGCAGGAAGAACCATTTATGGAAGTTTAAAAGTCAAACGAACAGTTCATTGCTGCCCAAATCACAAAGGGGTTACTTACAGCTGAGCAGCATTCTAACAAAGATCCTAAGATGAGTACTGGTTTGCTTCCCTCTACCAATGCTTATAGGTTTACTCAGAGTTCCAGCTTTGTTTTTCTTTGGTTTTCAGGGCACACTTCCTCTCCTCCAAAATGGGTAAGTGGGCTGACACACACCAGCTCCCTTCCTCACTCAGCTATGGGGCAGGAGAGGTGGGAGGGGGATCTTGATAACAAGCTGAACCAGTTCCTTTCCCATCTCAACCTCCAGCAAAAAGCTCGTTTCTGCCTCAAGTAGCAATGTATTACCCTGATCTTCATCATTAAGAGAAACAGGGGGTCCTTTCTGCTGTGCTATTGGGGTTTACTGATGAAGAAAAAGCCAGATTTCCAGACTGCATGAGATAAATGTTCATGAAGTTGCTGCAGGCAGCCTAAGACACCCACCTTTTCTGCCTTTGCCAAAGCTGTAGCAGATAAACTTGCAGCACTGCCTACTGGCTGTGTCTGCAGGAAGGCACTCAGGAAGTACAACACTTGAAATTAAATCTTCCGCTTGTGAAATTTTTAAGCCAGACTTATAAGAAGCCCGTAAGCAGTTGCAAAGCATGAGGACACCCACCTGATTAACAGGCTGACTGCACTGCGTACTCCAAGCTGAGGTAACGCCTAACCAGCACTTCAAAGCGATGCTTAGCTTTTTCTGGTCCCCAAAACAATCTTCCATTGGAAGCATAAATTCAGTAATATGGGATGCCATTTGTCAGCTGATGACAACTAATGAAAATTTCTTGTGGTTCATCTAGCAGTCTGCTTAACACCCTGATGTACAAACATTTAATATCTCAAAGCCTCTGCGGTTGCCCCCAGGCCCAATTCTTGGCTTCAGGCTATTATTTCTTTTTTTTTTTCATTTATTATTAAAACAAACCCAAACAAAACCCAACAAACCAAAAAACAAACCCGCAGCTCTCTTCCAACCATTTTTATCTTGCAACTGTGTCGCACAGATGGTAAGGAGGTGAAAGCATTGCTGCTTCTTTACACTGTGACCCTCTGACCGACCTCCTTCTACCAAAGAAAATACACTGCTTTGGAGAACAAACAAAACCAACAAACCCCAAAACAAACCCTTTTCAAAATAATACCAAAGTGTGAGATGCAAATACAAGATGAACTGTGTCACAGCCTGGAAGTTCCTCTGTTTTCTTCAAAACAAATACAACAATACCTCTCTCTGCAAATGGTGCTTTATGCAGATTAGAAAAGATGCTAAAACAGACTGTGTGCACAACACTGAATGAATAACTGCACCAGTAACAAGAAACATGGTTCTGTCTGAATTCTGAAGAACGCTTCAACGTGTACTACCTGCAGATCTGAAAAGTTCTTACTCCAAATAACCCCAGTGAGGAATCAGGGATATTACTGAACTACATCAGCAGCTAAACTTGAGTCACCTTCAGCTTGGCTAGTGCTACTTAACCTCTGGAGTTGGTCCACTGTTTTCAGAACAATACCTTGAAAAAAATAAGGTACTTATAAGGGTTAAAAAAGGGCTACTTCACGTTCCGTGTACACTCTACTGTTGCAGCCATACTGGGTAGCCTGTAATCTCCCCTGTGACCTCTGCTCATGGGAGAACAGAGGAGGGTGCAGTCAGTACCTCACCTTACAGCTGCATACATACCTCTAGTCCCCATATACACTTGGCATGAGGTGCCATGTACGATTTATTCAGTGACTATTTATTTACTCCTTCAGCTCTGTGCTTCACTGGCATAAACACTGGCCATTTCCCACCCACATTTCTTTTTTTAAAGTCTGAGCCAGTCTTTCACCTCAAAGGAAATACCCCACTGCTGTAGGCAGAGAAGAGAAAACAAGGATTTAGTCCCAAAAGACAACTGCAAAAGCTGAATATTCTTTTTTTCCTTAACCTCATTTTGCCTTCTGCAAGGAGGCTCATGGAAGTGGGGACAGACAGATTTCCAAACCACCAGGCAGTTAGGAGAGTTTTTACCCACCACTACAGCCTCCCTCCCAAAACTCAAACATTCTTTTCTCAAAGAGAAGAGCAAGACATGTAGGAATAAGACTTCTCAATGGCTGAACAGGTTAGTCAACTACACAGGTCCTATTCTGCCTACAAAGCTAAGCACTGGGTCAGACAGCTAGATTTACATTCCTGAACTAAGGTATGAGTTGACACTGTGATTCACATCAAATCTCTGCAATTATTCTGCTGTGTTTGCGCAGACATTAACTGCTAGAGAGCACAAGTCAAAACAGAGCAACAGAAATCAAGATGTCAAGCAAGAACTGGGGTTAAGTTTTGAGCTTTGCAGAATTTGTACAGGTGCATTTATGGACTAGTAGGGCATCTTCATGAGGCAGCAGGGTACTAGGATCCCAAGAGACCTGTCTTCTGTGCTGGAAGACCTCATGGATAAGAACACTGGTTGGGACAAGGAGACAATTGGCACCATTCCCGCCTGCCTTTAGCTTACTGTCATCAACAACAAGCAGAACAAACTGCAAAGAACATCACTGGCCAAAGGTACCCAGCATCCAAGCTGTGCTTTTGCATAAGGAAACTGAGAGCTCCTGACAAAAACCAAATACAGCCATTTACAAAAAGACACAAATCTTCTGACTCCAAGTGTGCCATGGTATTTGCCTTCTGTTTTCCAAGCCCTGAAGCTTGGGCACCTCCTGAGAAACAAGTTCAAGCACTCCAGTTCCTCACGTGCTAGTTTTCTAAATTAGCAAATTGGTAGATGCTCAGACGTGTCAAACATTATAGACCTGAGCAAAATGTACACACAGTCCTGCTTAACATGCAAGATCTTTTCATCAATAACCTGTAGACCCTCATTGTTCTTCAGATATGGGAATATGGTCTGAATGCTCACAACACCTTTTGCATGACAAAAAGGAGACAAGAGATACTTCAGAGGAAGACTGAGCCTTCCCTGTACTATTAAAGGTTGCAGCCATTTGGCATGTTCAAAGGCAAAAGGGCAAACACTACACAGTATAGGCTGCTTACCACGTATTAAACCTGCACTGGCGCAAAATCGCATCACCTTACAACCTGAGGTCCTGAATTTTCATCAGTTTCACGCCTAGGGCTAAGTAACCAAGTCTCTTAGACCCTCTTCCATAAATAAGCTTGATAGTCCCGACACAGTAATGAATGCTGGGGGCTCTTATTGCCCCCACTTTTTCTAATGTCTTGCAAACGCTGCCAGCCTCTCACCCTCTCATAAGCTGGACGTGCATTACTTAAATCGCCTGATAAACAGAGCAGGGGGGAACAGGGGAGGCAATGTAAGCACTTACCAAGCACAATGACGACAGTCTTCAGGAGGCTCATCATGGTGTCCCTATTCCTGCGGGGTCCAGAACTGTGTCTGGACATTCTCATAGTCCTTTGGCGGACATACCCAAAGATATGAGCATATAGGACCACCATGACCACAAAGGTGACCAGGTTGAAAATAGCCCAGAAGACCAGGTAGGAGTCACTGTAGAGCGGTGCCATGTTGGAGCAGTGAGTGATATCACAAATACAGTTCCATCCAACGCTTGGTATGGCACCCATGACAATGGCCATTGTCCAGATAACAACAATTACCACCACCACGCGCCGGTTGCTCATCCGAGTGTGTAGCTGCATTCGGAAAACGGTAATGTGCCGCTCAATAGCAATGGCCAACAAATTGGCTACAGAGGCTGTCAAGCTAGTGTCAATAAGACCTTGACGAAGAAGCCAGGTGCTTACAGTCAATCTTCTAGTGTTGGGTCCTGTGTTGAACATTAAGTAAAAGTAGGCCAGTCCTGCAAAAAAGTCAGCGGCAGCTAAGTTGGCCATTAAGTAATAAATAGGGAAGTGGAATCGGCGGTTGACATAAATAGCCACCATAACCAAGAGGTTGGCCAGCATTATGAAGATGCAGACTGTAATCCCCAGTCCCATTACAAGCTTGCTGACAGTATTCCATTCAGTGGCTAGATATTTTCCACTTCGATTATAAAAGAAGGCAATGGTTTCATTGTAGTAGCACTGTGGTTCACTCATGGCTGTAGACTGAAAGAAAAGGGAAAAAAAAAAAGAGAAAAAGAAGAATGACATCAGAACTGAAACATGATTGTCTCCATGGACAAGACATACACAGAGAGTGGGGAGTGGGACAGGAAGGGAACACGCTTCACAACAAATTTATTTTTTCAGACTAAGTGGCATTCCACAATTCGCAAACAAATGCTCTGAGGAGTCTAGTAACAGCAGCCAGATTAGAAACAACCAGAAATGTTTCCATCTGCTCTGGGAGAGCTAGCGTGATTCCTGATGTAGTTGTAAATTCATAGCAAATGAGCTTCTGGCCAACCAGATGTGCTGAAAAATTCACTTAAAGAGAAAGGCATGCAATTTGTAATTAAGAAAAGTTAATTCTCTTACAGGACATCTTATTTACATTATCAGTGCATAAAACTGTAATTTGGTTGTACCACTGTGAAGAGGTCTGCAAAAAGGAGGAAAAGATTACATTTCCCGGTACATTTTGACTCATCCAGGTCTCCATCAGGGGTATTCCTTCTTGTCCCGTCTTCAAAACTGGGAAGGACACCCTAAATTAAGATTGTCAGTATGCTCTAAAACTGCGAATTGCCAGGGCCAGGGGCTATGTCCTTAAAACATAAAGTACATTTATAAACAGTAAAAGAAGCTTGCCACTGTATTTCTGTGAACATTCTTCTTTTTCTATCAGCCACATTTCTGTATTTTGAAATACACCATGACTTTAAGTATAACTTGTGTGAACCAATTTATTCCAATCTGAATTAGGAGTGAGGCAATAAATGAGAAAAGTAATATTTTAATGCTAAAAGCATCAAATCTTATTTCTTGTATTAAATATTGTTATGTATTGTCAAGGAATATGTAAATCGTTTTCTTGCAGAGTACTCAGCTGAGCACAGCTATGGGTGCAACAAAGACCCATACTCTACCAGAATGTAGAACTTTTGCATAGGAGTGTTGGCTAACAAAACAAAAAAAAAAAAAAAAAATGCTCAGTGAGTTTCCTTCCTCAATTATAATCAATTACTCAAGGTGCAATTCCCAAAAGGCAAACTGTAGGAAGAACCCCTCTGAACAACACCCCGGTTCCTTCTTTAGCATGAATTAAAATGAGGATGTAACCATAATTAAAAACAAGAATGAAACAGAATAAAACCACAGAAAATACATCCACCAAAAAAGTCCTCAAGAAACTAATGTCAAAAAAGTCTCTTTCTAAAGACACTCAGGAGACGTGGCTCTGACACCCTTTTATGGCTGTGAAACTCTACTGACTAAACTTGAAGTTTTACAAAAAGAGAACCAGTTTTAGCAAGAAACAAGTAAGCTCAATGAAAGAACAGATGAACAACGCTAAAATATAAGAATTTATTCTCATTAAAACACGCAAACAAAAATCCTACGCTTTGAAAAGCTCCAATCATTCTGCAGGAAATGCTACACCCAACCTAACCTTTATTTGGAAACTAAAAATGCATAGAATTGGAAAACAGAATTAGTAATTGAACTCAAGCGAAAATAGTATCTGACAAAAACTTCCTTAAAATTATCCAAAGCTATTTCTCTTTCCCTCTGTTTGTCAACACAATTAAACTAATTCCTATGAAGCGATATCCAAAACTTTCACCAATATCCCAAATGCATTACATGACATTTAGATTTATGTTAAGGAAAAAGGTCTCTTTCGAGTGATTTTACCTCCAACCTAAACATCGATTAGAAACATTTGCAGACCCAGGATAATAAAAAGCTAGAGTAAATAGTATTTCTCAGCACAGTGACTATAAAACTTTCATTTTTCCTCTACAATTCATCAACTTTTAGGTTAGAAACATTTCAGCCTTAATTATTTAAGAATTTTTAATACTTCTTATGTAGGATCTCTCTGTTGCATAGAAAAAATGATTTATAAGGGATAGTTAACAAAGAGAAACCTAGCTACAAGACATCTGGCTTTAATTCTTTGGTTAAAGACCATGTGGTAATAACAGGTCAAGTATTAGAACCCTTAAGGGAGAGAGGAAGTCATATGAATGAATTAGTGGCCCTTATAAAAGCTTGCCAACACCTGCATTAATTATGTGAATGCCCTGTGTTTTTTCTCTCTGTAGGAATATCTGTATGCAGTTATACACTCTAATTTAGAGAGGAGGTCAGGACTCCAGGATCTAGTGGACTTCCATGATCCTGAATAAATTCTCTCTTTGTCTATATATTTGTTGATCTAAATTTTTCTTGCAGATGGCTGCTGCCCATATATAACAATTCCTGATCCACTGTTGTTCTTGTGGAGACAGGCCATCTACACCTGGCAGAATATAATTTTTGATTCAGAAATATGAAATGTGGTAAATGTAACTTTTTGTGTGTGTGTTTTGCACATAGGCTTAGAATGTGAATTATCCTTCCATTTTGTAATCCTGATTTTGTAACCCCAGTTTTTATCCCTCAGCTTTTTCACATGAAATCTGACACAGATATATTAAGAACAAGCAGACTTAGTCAAAAAAGCCAAGCCAGGGCTGAACGTATGCAGTGCACATAAGAGCATGTAAAATAATACAGAGTCTGACTTGTTAAATTTAAAAGCGTGACAGCACTTGAGCAGTCTTGGAGCAATAGCATGAAGCTCATTAGCTTCTCTCATTCTGAAGACACAGGAACAAATCACTCTGCTAGCATAAGGGATTTGAGAAGTTTTGTTTTTGGAGTGTGCTAATCTAAAACCTGGGATTGCCTTTAAAAGATTTTTTTCAGTCCCAAGGGAAAGAACAGCAGCAGAAGAGACTGTTTGCTGACAAAAGTTCAAGCAGGGGACTTCCCAGATGACTAGCTTTCTTGCATGCCAATGTATATATTACAGGAAGATTTTGACCTCCCAGGTCATGAACATACAAATCCCAAAGCATCACATTTACCCCTACTGCTGCTATCTGACTGGAAAGGCTCAAGCAGCCGGGCAACACAACATATCTCTGAGTACTGAAAGTGTTAACATACCATAATGGGATATGCAAGCAGGCAGACCCATCCCCTTCTCCTGGCCCTGCAGGAAAAGGGGCAGGGAAGTTTATATTTTAATTTCCTGAAGTTTCAACCAGTGTGTTTCATTGCCTGGGTAAGCCAGATGTGCAGTGCCCTGAGATTTACCTCATCCATTTAGTATATCTCAACAGAAGTTTAAAACAAACTGAGTTGCAAATTGCCCATGTTAACTAAACCTCTAGGACATGCCTCTGTAGAAAAAGAAAGCATCTGAATTATGAAACAGCAAGACACATAAAGCAAAATGGAGTAATAGCAGGCTAAAAGCAAAGCCTCCTCTAACCATGTGAGGTTGATTGAATACTCAAGACGTGGTTGTCCCAAACCAAAGAACAAGAAAATCCTGAGTACGTGGAGTGAAATCTCTTAATATGATGAGACACAGTAATAACCACAACACAAGACACACAGGACAGGAAATTCCATACCAGGACTTAGTAAATAAAACTAATTCTGCTTCTACTGTCAACACAGGCATGCTGTAGGCAGAATATCACCTTGCCACTGGCTTTCCAGCCACTGTCTGCTACACTTGTCCTCTTGGCTCCTCCACTCTGGTGGTAAGAGACCATGCCAGTGAGATGGCAGTGGGGAGACTGGAAGAAAAGCTCATGTAAGCAATTTTCCAGTGTTTCATCCTTGATTCATCATGCTGCTGCCCCAAGTCTACATCAGAGCTTGAGGAGTGAGGTGAGGATTTGGATTCAAGGCAAGGAAGAGCTTGCCCATGGGACTTCCTTAGGTAAGCAGCCCCTTAGCCTCTTGACCAGAGTGAAGAAGCCACTGTTTGCCTGGAATGGGAAGGTGAGAGGGAATCTCTGGGTCCTGCCAGCTTGGTGGTGAGTGACAGCCCACCTGGACAGGGCTCTGCATGGAGAGATGCTCAGGGTGTAAAACAAATACCAAGTGATGGATTCTGTCTAAACTAAGCATTTGTTAGCACAAGGTGCCTCAGGGGCAAACGATCAGTTTACAAACCCCGCTGCAATCAGAGTTTGCAAAGCTCCCCAGTCACTTAACAAAAAATATAGGCAAGGGAAGGACAGGGAAGGAAAAAAGAAAAGAAAAGAAAAAAGAAAAAAAAGGAGAAAAGAAAAAAAGAAAAAAGGAAAAGAAAAAAGAAAAAAAAAGAAAAAAGAAAAGAAAAAAGAAAAAAGAAAAGAAAAAAAGAAAAAAAAAAGAAAAAAAGAAAAGAGAAAAGAAAAGAAAAAAAAGGACCCCCTCCCCTCCGGCATGCATGGGTTCATTTATTTCTCACTGAGAGAAATAGAGAACAGAGCTGAACATTCTTAGAATACTAAGGTCTGACTTTTACAGAGCTTTTAAGACTTGGAAGCCACAAAAATGATTCCATATCCAAGAAAACTCAAAAAAAAAAAAAATATAATTAACCCTAAGCTCTCCAAACATAGTCTGCTCCTCTCATTCTTCATTTACTGAACTAACCTCGACATGCTGCTGATTTCTTAATGAGAACACAGACGAGATGAAAACCAATTTATCTGGCAAGGAAGGAATACAACCATTTTCCATACAATGAAATACCAACTACAAGCCAGAGACCTCAATTTTGCAGGAGTCATGCATTTTGTGCGCACTCTTCTTAAAGTTTGTGAGACTCTGAGGAGACTCATCATATCCAAGATGAGCTTTTAATCCTGAGGTAGCTACCCTTGGATCCCCAAAACAATATTTATCATTCTCAGTGTCACCCGGAAATCCAAAAACATTTCAGAGGAAATGCAGGCTTGGGAATGGCAGGACTCCCAAACAGGAATAGGTGCCTTAAAGCTTTACATTTACTGCAGCAGTGAACGGAAAAGCAGTAGCACTGCTTTCAGTTTACGTAAATACTCTGAAGTTTACCAACATACCAGGAAAGCTTGAGCTGAAAAACTTAAGGGAACTGCAAACTTCAAAATCCCCAAATAAGGGTACCAATTAAGAAAATCTTTAAAATA